ACTAAGCAGAGTTCACTCAGATACATACAATCATACGATATCACGATTCCTGTGAATGTGTGTTGCACAGGAATGAAATCTCGGCGTTGTTGTTGTTTGTTTTTCCTCTGGTTATTGATAATGAAGTGTGTGTTGTTATGTACATGTGATAAGAGATAATAACAATTAGCTCGTGTGTTTAAAATAGCTAATCTATGCAGTCATTTGACACATTTTCGTTCGAAAGGAAGTGCACTGTATTATCCTCATGTTGTTTGATTGTTGGGGGTGAGGAGGCAATCTACAAGAAAACCAGTACTTATGTTTTGTGCTTGTTAGCATCCATTACTATGACACATTTGCAACCTCAGAGGAAGTAATATCCTCTATGAGGTTTGAACTCACCTCAGTAAGCGCTGCAGTCGTAGACATTAACATAATTACTCCGAATTATGAAATACAGGTATGTCAGTCCCGACAAGGAAGTCCACTAACTACTCCATAAAGTATTAGGATTTTGAAATGTATTCAACCGCTCAAAAGACTTCGAGGAAATACCCATTTGAACGCATCAAAATATTTCCAGGATATGTTAACCAGATTTGATTGATTGAAAAGTATTAGTACTTTTGAGAGTATCACTCCAACTAAAACTGGTTTTCGAAATTTCTTCCGCTAAAATAAATTCCTACATGTATATATTATTCACAGATATGATATTGCGAAAATATTCATTCAGACATACATAAAACACAATATAATTCAGCAAAAAATATATTTTTAACAATTTCCTCTTCTGGCTCTACAATTATATATACAACTTTATATACATAGAATATTCTAGAATAGTAGTCAATATCAATATTAGTGTTTCTTAAATAATATCAATTTGTAAAGTAAGATCACAATGGAATTACAGTTCATCAAAGATGATCAAATTATAACAATAATATAGATATAATAGCGAATATTACATCAACTAAAATTAGGGAAATATCCACAAAAATTGAGGATCATTCAAACTGAAATGACCAGCGGGATAAGAATAATGTCTGAACTAGCTTCTTTCGGATGCACAAATTAGGCTTCTTAATGTCGATCCGAACAGCCAGCCGCAGCAATATTTAGTAATTGAACTCCTAAGGAGAAGTTAAGACTTGTTGGTGAGCGGTAAATAACCCACCCTGAAAGCCTGGTTAATATCAATCTTGTGTTCTGTATCCACAAGATGAGATGGAAGAGCGTTACGAATGGATTTTGTCTGTCCTTTACTTAACCACTTTGCAGAGTGATGATCGCAAATTCGATGAAAAACACGCCTATTTGTACGGCCTATGCATGATATGGTATTATGATTTATGGAAATATTCCATATCTGCAAAAATATGTCTGTCTTTATACATACTACTGATGCATACCAGTAATTAGAAATCATTAATGCACAAACAATGGTACTTGCTCACCAGACCAAGGTGATCTTTCAACATTTCACAGTTGTTGTTTTTTTCCTTTCTTGGAAAAAGTCCTTTCGTGCAAAGTTATATCCTGTAAACATTGTGCACAAAAAGTCTACATAAAAATATTAGAAATCACAATAATTTTATGAGTAGTGTATACAGTTATTCTTAGTTTAGTAGAAGATGGCCTATCCAGAAAAGAACATCCACCCCAGTCGTGGTTTCTGCAGGATAAATAAAAACATTCGAAACTCTCTTTTCTCTCAGTTAGTTGATAGTGGCCACCTACTGGACACTATGCAAGGACTCGATGTTATTTTATCTCAGTGAATGTTTCCAATGGTCAACACACTCGCCTAATGAATATAGGCCTAACTATGTATTCGAAAGTAGCCTTTATAACCAGTTTCCACCTCTTAGCCAATTGGAATTGAACTAACTGACTTGACCACTAGCATCATCCACTGTATAATTTTAGTTCGATCTTCTTAACACTGATTGACCGGTTTTCTTACACGTTCATTAGAATTCAGTCTATCTACTTCCCTAACAATCTGGTATTTTCTAAATCCGACTGTTTGTGTTCCACAGCCTTTATCCACCGCGTCTCTTTGAGTATTTCTTTGTGTAATTAGTGTCACATTTCACTGTCCTCCTTTTTCACAAACCACTCCACTTTGTTGCGTTCTTTGTAATTAACAGAATTATTACTATCATTGCTTTTTCGACTTCGACCACTGATTGATATCATCTAGAGAACCACTGAAAACCAGGGAGTACTGGACAACTGTTTCATCCTAATTTGCGAGTCATTGGCAAAAACCTATCAAATCTTCACAAAATCAACCCTTGAAAACTAATTCGGTGCTTGCTAGTGACTTGCTACAAGACGGAGTTTCCTACAGTTCTAGTGAGAATTTGTGACTAGTGAGGTTCATCCAATTGGGAGTCAGGATGGATTTTTCGCCTATGACATTGGTTGGTAGTTGCAGTAGAAATGACGAGGTGTTAGACGTTAGAATCCATGGGATACTGATCCGGTTCCCAGTGGCTAAATGGCAAACGAGCTTGCAAGAAGGTCTTGAGTTCGAAACCCAGTGGGTGTGTACTGCCGCCGAAAGGTCGCAAACTAGGAGGAAACAGTTGTCGCCTACTCCCTGGTTTTCAGTGCTTGTCTAACTATTATCAGTGCATAGTCTAACTCGTAAAACAAATGAAATCCTTACAAATCAACTCTTGTAAATTATTATTGCTCTTATTACAAGGACTTATAATAAAATTTATGTACACCATCATGTCATCCTATCAACAAATCACCCTGATCGATTAACCCCAAAGATGAAGTTGTAAAGTTGTGTGTACTGGAATAGCGCATGATGGGATGAAATTGAAAACAATATCACTCTTAGCAATTATAGGTTGCTTAAAATGTTAAGTCAGAAAACGAAGTGTGATGTTTTGGAACATTTCAAACTGTCATATTACAAAATGAAAACATTTGAATGCATAGAGCACTTATTATTCCACACAAATCAATGAAACTTTAGGGATATATAATTGACGAGAAGGGAGAATAAAGAGGCGTTGACTGTGAGGTATGAGATTCAGTACACTGAAGCACACTTCCTTTCGACCATTATCAGAAGCTCTGAGGTTATATTTCATTTGTCTGAAAGGAAAAATATGATAAATGTAACCCTTTGAGTAGTTAAACTTCTTTGGATTGTATAGTGATGCTAACTAACATTCATTTAGGAAACAGTTGAAAAGTAGAAAATACCAGTGTAACAATAGCTTTAAATTATCCTGTGCGAAATTCCTCAGAGCGAATTCTGCGTGCCAGTTTTAACAATTCGGAATACACGTGTGAGTGAGGTGAAGAAATAAATATAAACTAAGTCAGTCGACATTTGAGGAGTACTCATGTTATTCATCTTGAATTTTCCTTGGCTCATTGCACATTTTTTTCACAACTTTTATTATCATAATTTTACTCAGCTTAATTTCATCCTCTTCACTCTGTCCGTAGTCAAATTCAATAAGCCTCTACATGCTCCATGCGTCGGTGGCGTCGGTGGGCATTCTGTTCACCAACCACGGATTCGCTTTTGGTTCTACTACCGGCCAATGAACTTCTAAACCTCACATAGGCGATAAAATTCTAGGAAAAGACGGAAGGTTTGGAGTCACACTACCATCACCACCCAGAAACAACAACACAACTGCTAGGAAAACTTCAAATCTTAACGCCTGAATAATGTAAAAGTTAACTGGTGGATGTTGACTAGCAGTGGAGTTCATGATGCGCAGTTCGTCCTATTCGATACTCGTCTCCCGGACGTACCTGTACTCCTTAGTGAGTGATGATATTCCGCGTTATAACTATAATACAATCGGAAGTAAAAAACAAGCGTAAATAATAACAAATGCATTGCCGACAACGAAATATTCAATGCTCAATTAAGTGATGATGAAGCCGGTTGCTCTATGTTCTGTTTTCATCATCAAATAACGGCGGCCTGTTTGATATCTGGGCTACCTTTCCGTATATCTACATATGTTCTGTTTTCAACATTATTTCAGAGAATAGGTGTATGATATTTTTAATAAATTGAGGGATATTTGATTTCATATATTGGTTAGTTAGATAAGCCAACGTGGTGTGTGGTAATCATGTGATTTCAAGCAAGGTTTCACATTATTTTTAGGCTAGAGAGAATCGTTCGATTGTATATTTGAACACCAAATTATGTGTGAAGGGCTATGCATTATTTGCCTTCCTGTTTGTAATGTGATCAACTGTATTTATTTACCTGATTGATGAGCAGAGTTCATTCACGCTTATCTTCTTCTTGAAAAAACGAGATCATTTATTTTACACTCCGTTTTGCTCATACTGACTTGGGTAAATATAGAGATAAGAATATATTATAAATACATTGAAATCAACGTTCACCTTATAATACCGCGCAGATAGAATCAGGTAAATTTATTATTATTATTATTATTAGGTAAATATTTATAGCTGTGTTCTTCGTGAATTTGAGTTCTCTACCAGATAACCTTGTTCTCTTCATACTTTAGGTTTAACTTGTTTCTTTTTTCCACTGGGCTATAAACACTAATTTGTCTCTGAGCGCTTTTTCTCAATGACACGACACCTATTTATCCAGAGGAAATATAAATTCCATCGCCTCTCACTGGAAAATATGATCCTATTCTCACGTAGATATCATATATGCAGTCATAAATTTTAGATTATACGAAACATTTCAGTGATCCGCTTAGTGATGACAATAGTGATGACCAATATATGTACAGCTATATGGCTAGTATTGAGTTTGTTTGCCAACCATACTAGAATCGCTGCTCACTCGATGACAGCACAGCAGGAAGTATTGAATTCGTCTTCATCTAACTAGTGGATTGCATTTTCAGTTTCTGCTGTACAAATTACGATTATCAGCCTTCGTTTCACACTCACACATCGAAATATACTGTCATACATATTCCATATAACTGTCATGTTACAATTTATACATTTTCACAGAATTATCAAAGAAGATGGTTGATAAGAAAGCTGCAGTGAATTCCGTTTTAATAAGTCGTGAATTTGAAGTGCTGGACAAATTCCAGAAAAGAGTGAGTCTACTATCCAGTGATGAATATTATCCCTTATTGTAGGTTTTAGTTTTTCTTGCTGCGATATGCCCTATCACACTAGTCATAACACCTGCTCTGCCATTCATGTATGTCAACATACATAAACAATAATCAATTTTCTTCCAGAAATAAAAGACGTTATCCGGTGTCGACTGCCATCTCATACATATTACTGTGTGTTTATCAGACAACTAATTAAATTGAGTTCAATAAATTTTATTGAATATTATGATGTGTGTTATGCATTGACCATATTACACTAGGCTACATACTTGATATTTCCTTATTACAGTCATTTTCTAATTTTAGTTTCAACGCATAACCCTGTTTGATTTTCGATAGCAACGTTATAAGTCACTTTCGAGCATCCTACATGAGAGTGGAATATTACTTCAGATTGTTATTGAAGGCATGATTGACATATACAAGTGTTTTCTCGACACTTATCAAAATGTTTTCAAAACACACTATCAACTTACCTATTTCACATCCACAGGTTTACTAAAGCCGAGAGTATCATATCTCACAATAATTCGAAAGGCTAGAACTTCCATTTCACGTGTGACTCAGTGCATTATGTTGTAGTGTTTTGTGCAAATGCTGAACATGCAATTTGATAGGATAGAGTGTAGACTGTGATTCGAAACGAAAATTTAAGTCGAGTCAACTACAAGAATACTTGTGATGTCACACCTATTTTCTTAAATATCAAAACGTTTCCAGATAAATAACCAAATTTCCAGAGGCTAATAAACACAGTGAAAAGAAGAGAATGATTATGTCTAACCTCAGTTATAAAATGAATAGTGATAGCGATTTTGTTTTCATTATTTAAGCATTTCAGTGTGGGGTTTATATTTTCGTAATCGTGCACAATTTTTACAATTCACGATATATATATATCATACTTATTTCCCTTGCATTTTAGGGGAGTTGTTGAAATGGTGGTGATTTTTTCGCTTTTCATATTAGATGGCATAAGGAGACGTTTTCCCGTGAATTTGTTGTTGACGATGTTACATGTAAGAAGCCGATGTCTTTATCATTCCTGAGTATTTTTAAAACAAATTACACGACGAAGTAACACACGATGCTTTTAATTTCCCGGTCGTAACGTAGTTTCTTCATACATTCAAGGTGAAACAGGTTTTAGGAATGCATGTTGAGTAAATAGGTTTAGTTCAGAAGTACTGTAGAATATCGCATCAGGCACGAATGGAGTCCCTATTGCTTATGAAATATACAATGTTTATGGGACGATTGGAAGAAGCAGATACTTGATATAGTGGTTATTATGCTTTTTCAGTGATTTGTAATGCAGGTATAACATATTTCATATTTCCTGGTTAAATATACATACCTATATGATGTATTCAAATCACTTGGATTGGACACTAGTAACTAGTGTAACGTGTTTAGTTCCCCAATTGCTCAGTGGTAACGTCCATTCGAATCTCAGAAGGGAGATGAGTTTCTTCAAGGATGCAGATACGCCGTGCTGATGAGTACCAACTAGCACGAAACCTAGGTCAAGCAAGGCTTCCTGCCGATTGCCTCCAGCTATCTAGTATACAAATCATGTTATATTAGGTAATATTCATACTAGCAATGACTTCGAACAGTGAACTGCGTCTACGGAAACATTCAGTTTGCCAAAGTACTACAAACTATCACTTCACTGGGGTGATGATCTTTCTGAATACTACTGACTACCTATTACTATTGCCTATGCATTTGTATAGAATCACCCTCTAGCCTATTCGCTTACTTTGTGAAATTGTGTAAATGAGACTATTGTAACATTTGTTTATTGAAACACAATTTTTGTATTCAATTCACTCCTTTTTTGTAGTCCGCTTGCATCACTGTAATAACAGAAGCCTCATTAGTTCAGAGAGATTATAGATGGGTATTGGGTGCGATGGCGATAGCTGTGGTTCTCTACATCATATGCATATCGATAGGTGCAACGTTGAAAATTCAACTGAAAGTGAACTCCCTAGCAGTGGGGATAGGCTACTTTGTCTCCTCAATCATAATCGCCGCTGCTACACTTGCGGTTTACTTTGCAACCCAAAACGTAAGTGGAAACAATTATTTTTATCTTTACAAGAAATAGACTATGTGATTAAACTATTTATGATTCAAGCATCGAGATATACCATTACTTTGTCAATTCAGTGACTAGTGTGACTGAGTCACTGATGCGAATTTAACAGGTGTAGAGCGGTATTTTGAACAATTATTCAGTGTCGCATTTATCTTAGTTCACAAGGAAATGTATCTGTGTAATATCCTGACTGCATATACGTTTATTGTTAACTAAATGCATCTATCACTAATTTTTTCTGCGTTATAGTCCACTTGGTCTGTGATGACTCTGGCAGGAGGTATGACAATTTTAGTAATCCCTGTAAGTTTTCATTTTCGATGTTCATTTCTGTTAATTAAAGTTGCTTTATCAAAGCTAAGGATCACATGACCACTCAATGTCTTATTCAGACTTCGCTTACGATTGACAGTAAGCAACTTCTAGTGTAAAACACGCGACTGATTTTGCCAAATTTCACACTATAATCATTAGTTCGTCTTACATCAGAAGTTAAAATAAACGGATATCGTATTTTTCCTGCTTCAATCTCTACAACGCAGTCTGAAACGCCAAGAATGTGCAACGGATGTCCTCCTACCATCTGAACTGCTAATGTGCACGGCCTTATTTTCATACACTGTTCTCCATCTATCAACGAAACTGCGGCCCCTGTGTCGATCAAACAAACTATTTCTTTTTGGTTCACTCGTAATCTCCCGTACACTGAACCTCTTTCGACTAACCCGACCACCTCCAAACGCGAGCGAGAAAAAGAAGGAAGACTGTACCGTTTAAAGTTTTTTTGCATTCGTTTCGGGCAGTTTCTCTGCCAGTGACCGGTTCCTCCGCAAGCAAAGCATCTGTTGTTTGTTCTTTTCCTTATCTGCATAGCCGCCACCTGTTGTTTCAACTCTTCGATCTTCTTGGAATCTTGGCACCCCGTCATCAATGGAGCAACATGCGAAGTCATTATCTGCTTGTCACCTTGGCCATTTCATAGACATCCGTTGGTTGATCTGCGTTAACTAGCTGCAACTGATGAGCGATATCCGTCGGGACGCATTCAAGGAACTGAGATGCAAGCAACTGCTTCCGTGAGTCTTCGTCCAAGGTGGGTAGCGCGTGTCACAGGTGATTCGTCAGCGTTACTGCGAGAACCAACGGATCCCCATCCTGGCCAAGTCTCAGCGTCCGAAACTTCTGCAGCGCCTCTTGTCTGTCCGCAGGTCTGTCGAATTCGCACACGAGCCTCTCGACGACCTTCTCCCACGACGCCTCACCTTCCAGCTCCCGAGCGTTGTCGTACGCAGCCTTCGCGTGGCCCGTCAGCAGCGTTCCCAAGACAACCAGCTTCGCCTTCTGCTCCTGCACTCCAACCAGCTCCGCGACAGCTTCGAAATCGCTGAGGAACGTCCGCACATCTCCTTCCTCGAACACCTGCAGCCACGGCACCTTCATCTCTGGCAGAGGCAGCGACACCAAATGTTAAGAAGAAAAAACCGAGGAGGCTGAAACGTATGGTACATAGCTAAATTTGGTATACCATATTCTCAACCTGCCATTTACCACATCCTTGACGTATTGGTCGAATGTCGTCACATTCGATAGCTTCTTAGATTCTGCATCATATGGCAACATTCTACTCATGGTTCTCTTCTATGATTGCTCTTTCCAGTGTGCCAAACATATTGTTACATTTCTGAATTCGTTTGTGATATATTACGTATATCGGATTATAAGTAGCACACACCACAGTATTATTATCCCCTCAGGTTACAAATGGAACTTAGGATTTCCGCTCATACCGCTGTTTCAATCTGTTTTCTGAAGTTATTTGTGGTTGGCTCCACGACTGCCTAGAAGCTTTCATCATCTCCTTACATGATCTCACCCGTGTCACTTTTCGAGGCACACCCAACACGTTGATTTATGAATTCGGGCTCCACTTGAAGGACTCTGTTGTACACTGTATCACTGAGCAGTCTCATCATCATATCACATATCCAATTCATCTCCTTTTCCTTCTGCATATTTGCCATGAAGTAGTCTAACAGCTGGTTCTCCACTTACCGTCAAATCTGCAGTATGCAGTTAGAGACGGTAGCTGTTGTTAAGTCTGTAGCTTCTTGGAAATCCTATTCAGGATAGCATAACAATCTGAAACATATAGAATCACTAATTTTCCATTACTGTTGAAGATCCGGATCTTCGTAATTATGTTCAGCACATATGTGACAACCTCCAGTCACTTGGGTGAATGAAATTATCGAAAAGGATATTCACTGCTTAATTTTTTTGTGTTTTATAGATGTCCGAATGAATGATTTTGCTATATTCATTGTATGTGTCCAATTTTCATCAATACACTAAAATTCTCCAAAATATTACCACTCATATTTTCCATTATCTTCTATGTTTATCAGTTCGCCTTATTTGTCGGTCAGTCAACACTTGGCCCACGTGAATTCAGACAGTTTGATCCAGATTATTGTATAGCTTCCATGGTTTTACATGCCACTCTTGTCATCTTTCTGGTTACACTCAGCTTTGGAGTTATAGTGGTACCGATGAGAAGACCTATCATGTTAACAGGACTGATTGAACCTATTTCGTGATTTTCTGTATAAAATATTACAGTACGAAAATGTGCATTTCATTACGGTTTTCGGACACTTTTTATGCTGTCATCTTTATAAATTGTAATCAAAATGAAAAGATGGAATTTTCGAACAAAAACTAGTACTTCTGAAATAAAACTTCTACGTTCAAGACTATCAGTGTGAAACAATGTGAAAATGAATGTTCTGAGCAACTCTGCAGTGAATGCAGGATTCGGTATATTTTCATTCTGATGCATATCAGACACGCGGGATCGATAAGATTCATGTTCGGGGAGCCAATATCATGATGAAGCAGAATGTGGAGACAGAAAAATTTTAACGATAGTGCGTTTACGATTATAATAAAGTCTATGTAATATCTTAACTTGTAAATTTCTGTACGCGACAAGTGTAAGTATCACAGTGTCTTACTTAGATGCCTTGAGTTTAAGTGTTGAGCATTGAATTTATTGATGAGAACTGAAATTAGGAATCACTGACATTATGGTTCTACACAATAGCACGTATAAATCAACTTCAGTGGATTCGTGGTCAACAGCTTATCAACAGCTTATCTTGCTCATAAGTTTTAAAATCCTGAGTGATGGTACTTCACTGCATCTGGTGTACTGTGTAGTATGTAATGAAACAATATTTTATACATATATATTTTTTTTGATTACAGCTTGATGCCACACCGTATTTTCAGTACAAGTATGGATATCGGTAGCCCAAATTTCGCAGGCCGACCATAGATATCGGGTGTGCATCGGCAGGGGATCGAACCCCGGACCATGTGCATGTTCGGTGAGAGTCCTAACCACTGTGCCACCGACGCACATGTTAAAATAAAGTCGATTAGATCCTAGCTTATTTCGGATGCCGTCTGAGTTAGTCAAAGAATTTCGTGTTCACTCTCCATTGTCTGTGACTGGAATATACGTAGATGTGAAGGTTAATTAACGCTGGTGATTTGAAGGCCAGTCACTGGCGTTTGCGTGACTCACATCACAAAGACTACGTTGATAATAATAATAATATTTATGACACCAAAACTGTGTTCAGGTAACACAATTAGCTGTGAGAATAATGAAGACAGTGTATATCACAATGTGAGAAGTTCAGTAGTCGAGCGAAGTCAAAATCTCAGGGGAAATAGAAGTCCACTAATAGTTACTCAGAAAGCAGGACTTTGAGAGTCGAGCAAAGTCTAATATTGCATGGAGGATTTCATCATGAGCTGATATTAGTTAGAGAATCACTGGAAATCCTGGGAGTACTGGACAGCTGTTTCGTCCTAGTTTGGGACTCTTCAGCAGTACGCACTCACCGGGATTCGAACCCAGGACCTTCTGGTTACAAGGCGAGTTCGTAGACCATTGAGCCACTGGGACCCGATCCAATGGTCCTTGAATTCTAACTTCTGCCAATTCACGACATAGCGCGACCATTTCGCAATGTCTTCTTAGATGAGTTACTGTCACATCTTCAACCTGCTGTACCCTACTGGTCACGGCTTCCCACTAGAACCCCAGGTTAACTGCCTGAATAGGGCCAGTCACTAGTGAGCATCAGATTAATTTTCAAGTATTGGTTTGATAGGGATTTTGTGACCAGTAGGGTACAGCAGGTTGAAGATGAGGCAATAACTCATCTAAGAAGACATTGCGAAATGGTCGCGCTATGTCGTGAAATGGCAGAAGTTAGAATTCAAGGACCATTGGATCGCGTCCCAGTGGCTCAATGGTCTACGAGCTCGCCTTGTGACCAGAAGGTCCTGGGTTCGAATCCCGGTGGGTGCGTACTGCTGAAGAGTCCCAAACTAGGACGAAACAGTTGTCCAGTACTCCCAGGATTTCCAGTGATTCTCTAACTAATATCAGCTCATGATGAAATCCTCCATGCAGTTAAACAAAATCCCTACCAAACCAATACTTGAAAAAGTCTAATATGCCCAGTAGATTCATAGTTATGAATTCGTCCCGTTAAAATCATCGTGATTAGGAGAGTGAGAGTAATTATGAGAGCTCAGATGCTTTTGGAACAGACAGACACTAAGATTATTTTGTTGATTTTCATAGATTCACTTTCATGAAAACTTGGAGTTCGTACATTATTTTAAATACTCTTAAATGAGTTAGTCACATCAACTCTGTTGAAGAACATTCCACTCAGCATGTTTTGCATTCAGTAATCTGTTTTCTTTTATCTTGCGCATCTTTCATCACGGAGTCTGGTTAACGCGAAGATTAGAACAAGACATATAGGCGAACACAATTGATTTTCTACTCAGGCTTCACTCGAATACACATAATATTATAATATAAACATTAGTTTCACCCTATATCTAGAGCAAAATGTCAGTGTTGAATATTATGAATGCGCCGGTTATAACGAGGCGTAAAGGCATCACACCGTTAATGATGATAAAGTCATTGAAAAGGAAAGAACAAGCAGTTGACGCAGGTACCTACCTATCAGGTACAGATAATGTAAACAGTTGAGAAGTTAAATTCAGTCATAACTATAAAATTATTAGTTACACAATACTCCAAATGAAGTGGATACATCGGAAGTAGGAATTTAAACAAATATCAAAGTAGTACGAAATAAATAAATAACAACAATAAGCGGGAATTTTCAACTAGTCCAATAGATTCACCTAGGTGAAGGAAGAGACAAAAACAAGATTATCTATGCGTAAAGTAAAAGTTCATATTCCGTCTGAAATTTTCAATAGAACTTCACAAATAACACTGAAACCACTTCAATTTGTTCACCTGGTGACTTTTCTCAATCAAATGAGACAAAATAGGACTGCTCTTCAATTTTGGTTTGCGTCCACTAGTGAGTTCAACCTACTTGGCTTGCTCCAAAAATGCACCTAGATTTGTGATTGCACATAGAAATTGCACAGCTGGGTAGATTTTCTCTCACTTTTGCAATCATAATTAGTTAGTTTAGCAATTATAAGCAAAAGCTTGCAGCAGTATAAATCTGTTTTATTACTGTAGATAATCTTGAATGTAGAACTCCATAAGCAACGTTCCTACTGATTTGAAACTTCAAAAAGAACTCTATCTTCTTAACCGTGACCAGTTTCCCTTGATTAAACACACTAATCTTGTTTATTCTTACAGTTCAAATAGGATAATCCTTTTGTATCCATCCCAATTATGTGTCCATTTTATCGCTAGTACTAAGCAGCTTTTAATTTAATGAGATTTCAGCTTAATTTAATTATTGAACAATTTAAATTGTCATTCAGATAAACAACTTTATTCGAATCGCCACTTACGTCAACTGCTCATACTTCCGTTCACCTTGACGTTATTCTAAACATGATTAATGTTATTAGTGTTGTGACGCATCATTCAGAGTCATTTTCAAAGTAAACGAAAGCAGAAGCTCTCACCATATGTATCGAAACGCCAGAGCTGTGTATCCAAAAGAAACTACTCCAGCCTTCACAACTACCGTGTACCTAGTTCGGTAAGTTCCCTTATCCTTCAGTTCTCTTTGTTCTGTTCTTTGTGTGTGTATTTTTCTTTCTTGACCTTCATTCGAATCATCCCAATTTTTCAGTTATAAAATCAGTTATTTTCAGTTTGTTTCCGTGGTCCTCCTGATCACACTAGTAATCCGTTTAGAACAACCATTTTACAATTACATTCTAATCCTGTGTAAGCCTTTCTTTCTATGCCTCTTGTAATATATATTCGCACCTCCTGCCTAACTTACATTTCAAGTTGGAAATTTCGATTTCAGTGTGTTTCCATGCTCATTTTTTCACACCTGTAACTCGTTCTGTCCCTGCGTATATTTAGTTTCTAAGCCTCTTGTAATTCATATCAAGTTGAGAATAAGTATCACCTTTTATTCACTTTTAAAATTATTTCTCCAGTTATCAAAAATTAATTTTGCATAAGTTGTATATGTCTCCAAACCCTTGTAATCTATATTCGTGCCTTCACACTTTCATTTCAAGTTGAAAATTATTATCTCATTCGACACCATGTGAAATCCATGTAAACTAATGTACATAAATGCGATTGTACAGCTTTTGAGGATGAAATCGTCAAAAAGATATCTTTGCTGAACCTCTTGTTCTTCTCCCTCTAATGCCCCGATGGATATTTTCCATGAATGACAAATACACAATATTTACCACACATGTTTTGGTCCACGAAATAAGTCATTAGTTAAAATTAATTTTTGTGTGTAATGTTAGGTACATTTGAGTAAAGTCAAACTGTATATCGAATATAAAACGGTGCTGTTTGTTTAGATGTCTTGTTTCATTTTTCATGTCTAGCAGATTCTGCAGTGAAAGATGTTTAAGATCAACGCCCAATGTCTGATGTGTAACTGTTATTCTGACTGTTACATTGTTCAACATAGTCAATACAACCAGCAGATGAGACAGCCGCCTAAATAAATCGAGAACTCGATTTTTCATAAAACTAAACACATTCTGGTGTCTGTATTTAGAAAGCATATTTTCTGTCGTCAACCCTATGTCTTTCTTAATTACAGTGAATTTATGTTCGAAGCATTTCATCCACTATAAACATTCATTATATTTAATAAGAGTTCCACTATCGACCTGCATCATCCTTAATGACTATTATGCAACTTTACTTTGTCACTTTTTGACTAAACCTCGCTTAGTTTATTTGCTCACTGGGGTTCTAGCCAGCTCCAAGCCTGAATGAAGAGGGAGGGTTCGGCGGAGAGCTAACAACTCTGCTACAGAAACATTAATGCACAATAAATTTTTAAAAATGCAAGCTGATTCTTTGCTGGGATTGGAGAGACGAAATGAACAGCTAACTGTCTGGTGAAAGCTTTCGGGGAGGCAGTCAATGAAAGCAAAAATAAAAACGGTGACGTGGAATGTTCGCACGAAGCTGCGAAGGTTACCCAGGTTGCCAAAGCAGTGAGAAAATGCTGCATGGAATTGGTTGGAATCTGAAAGAACAGGTGCGATAGATGTCAGACATCTAAATTGCTCACTGCAGTCAACATTCTACTCCAATCGCCCAGACGAAAATTGCAGGCACACTGAGGCAGTGAGTGTCTAAC